TGCTTTCAGGTGATTAATTTGATTTCCTGCGTTATTTAAACCATTGATTAAAAGACCAACTTTCTCATTAATAATCTTGTAGCTAATATGAATAATGTAATATTCTAAGTGCACATATACTTATGTCACTAATTTATATTCTAAAGACATATCAACATGTCTTTACAATAAAATATAGTATAATCCATGATACAATCATTTCTACGCCTCATTACTACGCCTATATATATTACACTAATTCATAATCTTCTTACCTTCTTACTACGTTAAAGCTCATTGTCCGTATGTCAACACTAGCCAATCAGAGCTTTCCATTTAATTATCATCAGAATTACTATGGTCAGATTACATAATCGAAGTCACATGATCGAATATATACGGTACAGCAGAGTAATAATTTTAATTGTACGTGATATTTAAGGGCAATAAAAAATCAATAAAGGAAATTTATTATTCCAATTCTGGAATGAAATTGAATATGTATACATAAAAAAAATAAAAATTAAAACATTAAAGATTAATGCCTAAGTCAATAAATTAAAGAAATTTTACATGTGTATAGGAAACCTATCCATATATCCATTAATATAACATCCTAACTCTATACCTTCACACACCTAATTTTTTTTTTTTGATATTTTCTATTTAAGCAGTATAACGAATGAAGAATTAATTGTCATTATAATTAATTTATTGCATGATTCTCTAATGTGCAAATTTATTTGTGATTCATACAATAATAAATAGTGCTCCAAACAGGTCTGGTTGACAATTTTTGGGTTAGAACCTCAAACCCGACCCAAAAAATTTAGGGATAATATATTAACTTTTTTTTTATAAAAAAAATGAATATAATTTCCCTTTTTGCTCTTAAACGTTTAATAATTTATGTAATAATGATCATTGAAGTTGGCTAATAAAACCTAAGTGCAGTATGCTTATAAACTCAGTGGGCTGGTAAAAATCATGCATTGCACATTCAGAATCAGTGAAAGCTTTTTTTATTTTTATCCTATGGAATTAATATAAAAAAACTACTGATTTTGCCGTCAAGAAATTATTGTTTGAAGTTAAGCAATTATTAAAGTCAGCAGTTAAGTTTTCCAAACTTTGATCGATAATACCACAACAACTGCCCACCTAAAATTGATAGAAACTTTTTATTTTTATTCTATGATATGGATTAGATTAAGATATTATTGTTCAAATTTTGAAAAAAATATATTAATTTCATTAACTTGAGATATCAACAAATATACACCAATCAGATCTCTTCGAAGAATCAAACTAATTTCAATACATGTAATAATTTAAAGTAAAAAATCTTACTATGTTAAATTTAGATTAGAAATTAGAATATTTTATATTAGAGTGCAGAATGTAATTTCATAATCAAAATTTCAAGTTGCATATCATTTTTCACATTATACCTGCCTAGCTTTCTTAATAACTCTAGATGTGGCAACTAAACTTAATAGCAGATTCTTGATTCTTGATTTTGATTGGCTAAGAGCAGTGGGCAAGAAATTTTGCCAGAATTATACTAATGAAACTAGATGTAAAGTTAGTAAGAAAACAAGAAACTACTACAAAGCATAGAAGAAGAGTAACATTTAGCATAAAAAAACTATCACAGTCTACCTTTGTATTGTTAAGCTTTTTATTTTACTAATATTTTCCTCTCAAAGCAGATATTGGGCAAATAGATTAAATTTTATATTATATATATATTCAATACTTAAATGCTACAAATAAAAATTTAAACGGAATTATTGCTACAACTATTTTACCTTTGACAAGACACAATTTTTATAAACATACTTCAAAATAAAATGTGGCACGTAGTGACACGTAAGGAGCTAGTTCGGATTTATACAATACAATAGGGGGTTTCAGAATTAATGATTCGGCGTCCGATTTCAGATAAAATAAGTGACGTATTTATTTCAAAATAAGCAACGTACAAATTCTATTTTTTTTAAAGTATGTACTTATTTACATAATCGTTTACCGATGAATGTTTATCAAAAAAAAGCCAATTTTATAACCGGCTATGCCTATTTAACTTTCTGATTCGGAATTTTAAAAAAGAAAATATGTCCTTTTAAACTCTCACTTATTTTGAAAAAAGTTAATTCTGAAACCCCTAATAAGTTAAAATTCAGTTAATTGGTTTTAAAAGAAACTATAAAAGCATAATGAGGTACTGTGAGGTTAATTAAACATCTAATATGCTGCGTAATATGTGATTTTTATAACCATAAAATCGGATATAATAAACCGAAGAAACCAAATATATTAAAACCGGATTAAATTCGATGCTTAATATTCGAATTAAATAAATTTGGATTTAAAAAACAAATCCGGTTCCAACTCTAATTTGGAATTCTAAAAAATAAATAGGTCCTTTTAAACTCCCACTTATTTTGAAAAAAAGTTAATTCTGAAACCCCCTAATGATTCAATTTAAATAAACTATTTTTTTATTTTATAAGGCTCACTTATCTTTACGTGTTTTACTGTCCGGTACTGTATAAAAATTAAAGTGTTTCTAATTTTAACATAAACAATTTATCAATTTATAAAAAAAAAATTCAAAAGAACTTTTTCAATAAGGTCTTATTCAGTTTACAAAATCAAAGAATTAACTTTTCAAATATAATACAGTCAGACCTCTCTATGGCAAAAATTAATGGTCAGTGCTTAGGGACAGCATGAATTCACTAATTGGTAATTAGAAGTTAGGATTGGTTAAATTTTGACAATTATAATGCTACATGAATTTGTAGTCCCGCCTGTCTGTAGATTTCACAGACCCATAGGTCTGTGAAGTCACATGTTCATAACTCTTAACATTTTAACCTTTTGTAATCAAACTTCATCAAATTCAAGATTTGTAATATTGGCACAATTTCTGAATTTAATATTCATATATGTTAATATCTGAAAAAGAACTAAAAAAACTTCTTAGGAGACAATTACTATGCGACTTTTTATTATTATTATTGCAGTATTAGTAGCCGTAAGTTCCAATGTTAAGAAACTGTTAAATAAAAGATTTTAAGGTAATTATTCTTTAAATAAATGTTTGCGTAGTTTACAGGTTGCAAATATAATATGTTAATTAGACAACTTTCATATTAAATTTATCTTTGCAGTAACACGCAAGGCTTTTAATAATTCCAATTTTCTTATTTATATGTATTTTATTAGGGACGTTTTTTAGCACTTTTTTAGAGTTGAGCTAGAATTTAGTGTTAGAGTTACATTACATTTGTGTAAAATAGACGTTTAATGACGCAAATAATAAGACATTTCTTTGTTTCATGATTTGATTTTCTAACGCAGTCATATGATTATTACTAACACTGTAACTCCTCACTGCTAAAAAAAAATTATAGCCATCGCTATCGTTATTACTGTATTAAACAATTGTCTTCGCTGTCGATCATTATCGCTGTTTAAATACAGCAACGGAAATTAACAAATTTTCGCTATCTGGTACGTTTCTAAGCTGCATCGATACAAGGTTACATTCTATTTAACAAAATAAAAGAGGTAACTTTGGACTTTCCGTTAAGTCTGACAGAAAGTTCAAAGTTACACTTTAGATTTTGATAAATGTGATGCATCAAAAACGTAACTTTCATACATTCGTTAAAATTTATCATGTGTATTACTGTCTACAGAGCGTTATTATGATTTTTTTTTATAATAATTGTCACTTTCATTTTAGTACTGTTTATAAATTAACATTGAATATTAATAATTAAAATGTCAAAGACTTACTACAACGTCCATTGTGTCCTAATTAGTTACATTTTGTGGACCTGTAACGGTAACGGTCATACACAGAATGTATCATCATAGTTATGTCGAATAAAACAAGCTAAATTTATTAAATTCTATTAATTAACTGCCATCTTTATGTATTCCAATTTCTTTGTTTAGTTGATTACTTTAATAATGAACAAAGTATTGTTCAACAAAGAAACGTACTTATACGGGTACGACTTATTACAACATTCGAATTAACACACCTTAAAATTTATAAATGGTTGAGAAAAATAATAAGAAAAATAATAATTTTCAAATTCTCATTAAAACTAGTAAAAGATTCATATTGTTTGTAAATAATGACAATGGCAGAGACTCTGGAAATGGTCCTCGAAGATGCCCAAAGCATAGTTACTTTAGGCACCAATTCTGATATCTTAAAAAACAGTCTAAATGTAGTTGGAAAATTGGCTGACACTGTACAGCCCTTCGTTCCTTTGATTAGTACTGTTTTTGTAGTTGTATCTGAAGTAATGAAAATTATGAAAATGCCAAACACAATAAAAAAATTTGTGCATCGCTATTGGTTATAGTCAATACTACAAAGATTAATGTCGAAATATTACAACTTCAGCCCAAATTTGCGATCATAAAGCATTTTACAGATTCATTGAAGTATTAAAGAAATAAAAAATTTTATGAACAACGTTTCAAACTTGTCAGGTTGGAAAAAATATGCAACAATGAACTCAGTACAAGAAAATTTTACGAAATTGATTTCTGAGTTTGATCAAAGTATGAATGATTTACATTTTATGATAACTATTTCTAATGAAGAACAAAGAAAATTAGACCAAGAAAATCTTAATGCTGATTTTGAAGAGATGAAACAGG